ACTCTTCATTCATATTCAATATTTATTATCAAAAATTGAACAGTGTTTGGCTTGCTTGTTTGGGATACCATAGTATTTTGTTGTTGCAAAAATCGTCAGGCAAAATCCCATTATTGTTGTTTTTATAAAATAATGTTTACCAGGGGGTAAGGCAGGGAATACCTAGGTTTCGGAAAGAATTATTATAAAAATAAAATTATTTTTCCTCCACCAAAACCTCTATTTATTTCGGATTTTATCAATAAACCACAACATTCTCATTACAACGTTAGACACAAAAATAAATTATTAAAAACCATTAATTTCACTTTCATTGTCAAACAATTATTAAAAATTTACTGCTCAATGACATCACAGTGTCTTCCACAACTAGTCCAACAAACTTACTCGCAAACCGATTGGTAAACGCTCAAAACGATTCATTATTTGAATACAACAGAATTCCGTTCTGGGTTTCGAAAATTTCCCTTTAATTTCTTTGGCTTATTCACTCGATAACGTTTGAAATTAAACTGACAGCAATGAGGGCCAAGCGATAGAATTCTACCCACACGCCAGTTACGCTTATCAAGAAAGTTTTTCTAAAAGCAAACAGTAGAAAAAACAAACACACACGCGAATACTCAATTTTTGTGTTAGCTTGTAAATTGGCTATGGCTACGAGCTCGGGGTGGCGTAATAACTGCCATAATTTTTCGCACATTCTATGGCCGAAAAAAAACAAAACAAAGTAAAAGACAATAGAAAAACGGCTAACGAATGATGACCGGCCGCTTCGAAAATTAATTATGAATTCTATACGAAGTATTGAGCAATGGTAATTTAAGAATTAAATGCAAATTATTCGGGGGAAGACCAAAAGAATGTAAAGTTGTTAGATTTGAGGAAGAGGCATAGCCAAGATGGTAGCGATCGATTGCGTGTTTGTTGCTTGAGTCTTTTGTTCATTCGCAAGAAAAAAATAAATATTTTACACATGGAACAATTATTATTTGTGAATAATATTACAAATTTGTTAATGTAAAACATTGTTGGTATTTCCTAATATTTATTATTAGAACAGTGTTGGTATGTTTGTGTTGTGTATGTTTTATAAGTGCGGTTGTAAGATTTAGAAGATTTTCCAAAAGAATTTTAGTTTTATTTAATTCTTTGGTTCCTCTTCCATTGAGCTTACGATCTCGTCACTTGGGTAAAAAAATGTTTTTCGTCATAGAAGTTATTTTTAAAATAACTTCTGGGGAGAATATCCCAGACAAAAAACAAGAGAACGTTTGTGGATTGGTTTTTCGGAAACCTTGGTATTACCTGCCTTACCCTTTGGTAAACATTACTATCTTTCTCCACTAATAAACAAACGTTGTTTTTATAAAAACAACAATAATGAGATTAAACCTGACTGTTTTGACACAACAAAATATTTTATTATTATTATTATTATTATTATTATTATTATTATTATTATTATTATTATTATTATTATTATTATTATTATTATTATTATTATTATTATTGTTATTATTATTATTATTATTATTATTATTATTATTATTATTATTATTATTATTATTATTATTATTATTATTATTATTATTATTATTATTATTATTACTATTATTATTACTATTATTATTATTATATTATTATTATTATTATTATTATTATTATTATTATTATTATTATTATTATTATTATTATTATTATTATTATTATTATTATTATTATTATTATTATTATTATTATTATTATTATTATTATTACTATTATTATTACTATTATTATTATTATTATTATTATTATTATTATTATTATTATTATTATTATTACTATTATTATTACTTATATATTATTATTATATTATTATTATTATTATATTATTATTATTATTATTATTATTATTATTATTATTATTATTATTATTATTATATTATTATTATATTATTATTATATTATTATTATTATTATTATTATTATTATATTATTATATTATTATTATTATTATTATTATTATTATTATTATTATTATTATTATTATTATTATTATTATTATTATTATTATTAGTATTATTATTATTATTATTATTATTATTATTATATTATTATTATTATATATTATTATTATTGTTATTATATTATTATTATTATATTATTATTATTATTATTATTATTATTATTATTATTATTGTTATTATATTATTCTTATTATTATTATTATGATTATTATTATTATTATTATTATTATTATTATTATTATTATTATTATTATATTATTTTATATATTTATTTATTTATTTATTTATTTTTTTTTTTTTTTTGGGGAATAACTCTTTCCACCATTAATAAATGGGGTAGAGTATTAATTATACCCTCAGCCACATGGATAGAGAGAGTATATATCATTTGATACAGCCTAAACGTGCATCATTGAAATAACGGTTTTAAACCCGATCTAGCGATGTCCGTCCGTTAATCTATCCGTCTGTATGGCTGGTGAGCACGGTTTGATCCTAACTTATTACGTCGTAATAATATTATCAAACTTAGATCGAGTTTAGAGGTGGGCATTATCGGTCTACTCCTTCTCGTAACTACCCCACAAAGGTCGAAATTCTCAAAAAAATATTTTACTGCACAGAATTTTTCTCCAAATTTGCAAATCTTAATACTTCCATCATTGATAGGTGAGGTGCGAAAATGGACAATGTCGGCCTACTCCTTCTGGTACCTCCCACACAAAAGGTCAACATTTTCAAATATTACAACTTTTACAAAATGTTATGTAAGAGTCCGATTGTCATCAAACATCTCAATATTTTTATTAACCCAAGATCTGGTATGAAGATGGAATTTATTCGTCCACTCCTTCTGGTAACTCCCCCACAAAGGGTCAAATTTTTGAATATTCATGAAGATCAAAAAATCCGAAATTAACAACCGATTCCATTCAGACTTGGCTCATATCAATATCTTTACAAACACAAGAAAAGTTATAAATATTGTAGAGATCGGACCATTCCTTTTGGTATCTCCCACACATAATGTCAAAATTTGGAATATCCATAAAGACCATAAAACGCGAAAGTTACATCTGATTCTATTTAGACTTAACACATCTTAATATTTCTATCAACATATAAAGATTGTAGAGATTGGACCATTCCTTCTGGTACCTCCCCCACATGGGGTTAAAGTTTTGAATAACCAAAACGATTACAAAATCCGAAATAAACATCCGGTTCTCTTGTGAGGATGATATATATCTGCAAACTCTTCTGGTACTTCATCACAATTTCCAAGACTGATTTTTTAAATTGTTTTTTTTTTTAAATATAAATTATTTAATTAATTTTATTTTAATTTTTTTTTATTAATTTTTTATTTTATTTTTATATCCTCCGCCATAGTATGGAGGGTATATTAAGTTTGTCATTCCGTTTGTAACACCTCGAATGTCCAATGTCCGTCCGTCTATCCGTTTGTGGAAATCACTCTAGCTTTCGAACAAAATGAAGTAGGTTGATAAAATTTTACTCAAATATGTATTATGTCTGTAGGACTTTTGGTATTGAAAATGGCTCATGTAGGTCCACGTCTTCGTATGGCCCCCATATAACGGTACCTCCCGATATGTGGTATTTTGATTATTTTAGCGACATTATTTACCGGAATTGTTTCAAAATTGGTATTTACAGTTCGTAATATATACTACGGCTTAAGACAGAAAATGAGCCATGTAGGTCCACGTATAGCCCCAATATAACGGTACCACCCGACATTTGGTATTTTGATGATTTTAGCGACATTATTTACCGGAATTATTTCATATTTTGTATTTGAAGTTCGTAACGGATACTACTGCCTATGCCAGAAAATCGTCTGTGCAGGTCCACGTTTTATAACCCACATGGTACCTCCCTATATTCGGTATTTTATGATTTTAGTTACATTAGAAACAGATTTTTTTTCATGTTTCGCATTTGAATACTGTAATAGCTTGTGACAAAGGTTGCCTATTCAGGTCAACGTCGACTTAAAGACCCTAATATACGGCTACATTCGCTACTTTAAAGGTTTTAAGAGAATTTTTAACGGATTTTTTTTGAAAATTGCCAAATTTGTACCAAATGGTGGAGGGTACTCAAAGTTCGGCCCGGCCAAACTTACAGGTTTTTTACTTGTTTTTTATATAAAAAAAATTAAATTTATTTTAGAAATTTCATCTAAAGCGGATTATTCTTCTTATATCTACAAAATAAACTCTTTATGTATTTTTTTAATTTTTATATTTTCTTTTTTATTTATTCTTGCAAGTTTGTATAACAATAATTCTTAAAAAACTACAACATGTATGTATGTTTATATACAATTAGAAAAATATTACAAACGTAAAACTTGATAGATTTCAAAAGCTTCAATATTATGTACAATGGACTGCATATAGAGGATAGGATGTTAGAATTTCAGAATGGAAATGAAAAAGAAACAAAAATGAAAATCGAAATAAGTATTAAATAGAATCGTTAGATTATCACAATTTTTAAAACAAAATGCATAACAACTTTAAAATGGCACATCAAAGATAAAGGACTTGTTTTGATCCTGTCAGTCTAAAAACCTTTTTTGAAAAAATAGAAAAGTATTTACACAAGGAAAGTAATGAAAGAAAAAATGTTTTCAAGACTATAGAAAAATAGTAAAGAATAACAGTTTAAGCGCACAATAAAAAAATATTGAAATTTCAAAACTCTTCAAAAATGATTTCCATTCAAAAAATCTCTGATTTGTTTGAAATTCCAATATTTCATGAAAATAAACTTATTTTTTTATAAAAAACAAAAAAGTAACTAAAAAATATAACATTTTGTGTCTTGTGTCATCCTAGCAACTGATTAAATGGTTTTGTTGGTTTTCTGCCAGCCAGAATCTAGTTCTCTTCAAATCCCTGACTATAATTCTCTTCTAGATCGAAATCGGTCTTATTGCATATACATTTTTTCTCTCTAATAATGATGATGAAGAGCTGGAGCAGCATGTATGGCATGAATGGCATGCACGGGAGCAGCATGTACAGCTGGAGCACTCTTGTGAACAACGGCATTGAAACCACTGTGCTTATCCGATGTATAGTGAACGGTACGCACCGAACCGTCAGGTTCCACCAAGGAGTATTCACCCTTTACCACATCTCCATCACGTTCCTCGGCCTGGGATTTGATGTCACCGGTGTGGGTGTCTTTAACGCCATAGTGGAAAGAGTATTTTGGGTAGGCCTAAGAGAGAAGAAAACAATTTTTGAAGGATCTATATGTTTTTTGAAGTGTATGGTTTCTTACCACCGGTTCATGTTCATGACCATGCACAGCATGTGCAATAATGGGTGCGGCATGAATCAATTGTCCATGACCATAGTGACCCAATTCAATGGGAATGGCATGGGCGGCAGCAATGAGGAAAGCAATAGCAAGAATGAACTGAAATCGAGAGAATATAGATACAATGAAACAATTTTTAAGATAATTTGAATTTCTTATTTAATTTTAATTAAGAAATACTGTAACTTTCGAAATTCCTCAAAGATTTTAAATTTTTATTATAAAAATTCTAGTATATATAATCGACAATTACCAGTACTAGTTTTAGAATCTGGAATATATATCAATTTTAGGACTAAGTTTTTTCTATCGATGCTCAGAAAATCAGGGACATAATTTGGTAGGAAATGTTAATATTCAGAATGGTCAGATTGTACTGTATAGTAACTTCACTAAGAACTATTTGGATTTATATTGCCAAGAGTTGTTAAAGCACCACTTTTCTTTTGCAGTGCATCGACAATTTTGAACTTGCAGCATTATTAAGAAAATATCTAGCCAGCGCCATCTATATGCCAAGACATAGACGTTTTCTGTTATTGGAGGAACTCTGCTATTTAAAACATCAAACTTTATAAAAATTGCTAAGAACCAGTAACAGATTGAAAAATATATATATCAATATAGAGGACTAAATATTTTCTATCGATTGTCGAAAAATCAGAGAAATAATATGGTAAGAAGTGTGAATATTCAGAATACACAGATTATGCTGTCTTTATTTCTTAAATAATCAAGCTACTTTATAGCCCATCTTTTCCTTTCCCTTGTCCTTGTTCATTAATATGGTATTTGGTATATTATTCCACTTTTGGTTTTACTACAAAACAAGCCTTGAAAATTTCCGAAGATTTTTTTTTAAATATTCGTAAAAATGATATACTTTAATAAGTTCAATTTGGGTATCTGATACATCATCCAAAAGGACCATTGCCTATAGTTTTTATGCGCCACTTTTATTTTGCAGTGCAATAGAAAATATTTTGAAATTCCAGCTCTAGAGATTAATGCATTATCAAGACAATGTAGAGCCAGCGCCATCTATGTATCAAGAAATTGAAGTTTACTATTATTGTATCAATCAATATTGCAGGATCTTCGACACACCGTTATTGCAGAAAATCACTGTTAGAATACTGAAATATATATTCGGATCCCTGATAACCTTCAATGTTTTGTTCAAAAAATTGTCATTCGAAATATCAGTTAAACATTTCAGAATTTCTGATTTATTAGTTCCACAATAGCTAAAGAATACTTTTTTTGTTTGTATTTAAAAGACGTCAAAACAACAATTGAAGAAGACCCAGCAGGTGCACCAAAAACGAAATTATTATGGTATTTGCTGTTATTTCAATCTTTGCTCCCTTTGAGAATTAGTTGAGCCTCTAGCTCAAGCCATTAACATAACATTTCGCGAGCGCCATCTTTATGTAAATTTTTCTTTTTCATTTCAGGGCAGTTTGGATGAAAACTAATACAAAACTTCGAGATCGAAGGCTTAGGTAATTGTTATATGACATTTATTTCAATTGTTTGAATTTTTTGTTCCCTTCTAAATTTATTGTGAAGAAATTTCCATTTACAATACCTTCCACTATATGTCACAAAAAATCATTGGAATTAGTTATACAGAATTTCATTTTCACGCCACAAACTCAAAATTTTCCCTCTTTATGCCCTCTTTATGTTATGTTATCTTTTTATTTTATTTCAATACAATATGGATAAAAAATAATTCAAAACTTTGGGACTCACGGCCAATAGAAATTAGTAAATTGTATTTATTTCCTATAGATCATAAATGGATATTTTGTATCCTTCTAAATTTGTTGTGAAGAACTACCTCGCTCCCTAACTCCCAAGACAGTAACAATAAACCAATGTGCATTTTTTCTGAAAAAGTTTTTTTTTATAATACCTCATACAATTAAATTTCCAGCTCAAGCCACTAACTTATATGTTGAGCGCCCTCTATTTGTTATGTTTTTGAAAAAAGTATAAAAAACTTCGACACCCATGGCTAATGGAAATAATTTTAGTTTTAATAGATCTAATTTGGAACTTTGGTAGAATTTTTATTACAATACATCGAATAATATGACTTTTTCTAATGACTCAAATTTAAGATTTTACGCGTTCCCTCTATATGTGACAATATATGTTTTTCTTATTTCAATACATGTGTATGGATTTTCTTCTGATGCATTTTTCTTTGGAATCTAATGGAAATTAGTATACGGTATTAAGTTTCAATAAATTTTACTTGGATCTTCGGTATTCCTGTTAATTTGTTGTAAAAATAAAAGTAGATTTCTAGATCAATACACAAACTTGATATTGTTCGAGCTCCCTCTATATGTCACAAGATATTCTTCTTATATCGTTACAATATAGATCAAAATGTACTCTTGTGAAGTTGTTTTAAAGAAATGTTCGTTTGCAATACATGATACAATTAGAGTTCTAGCTCTAGAAACTAACGTAATTTTCTTCGTGAGCCCCCTGTATTTTAAGTTTTTTTTTTTGTTTGTTTCAGTGGAATATGGATGAAACGTTTAAAAAACTTCAGAACCCAGGTCTAGTAGAAATTAGTATACGGAATTTATTTTCAGAATATCTTATTTGAGTCTTCGGTATTCCCGATAATTTGAAAGGAATATGAATATAATTCCAGTTCTAGCTCAAATCTCCAACTTGATCATTTCGAGCTCACATGACAGACAGCAAAGACATATAATATAACAAGTAAAAAAGCTGTAAGTTCGGCCGGGCCGAACTTTTAATACCCTCCACCATTTGGTACAAATTTGGCAATTTCCAAAAAATAAAATCCGTTAAAAATTCTGTTAAAATCTTAAGAATACCGAGTGCTTATACGACGACGTGGGCCTGCATAGGCATATTTTGTCATAAGTTGTTACAATAATTTAAATGTGAAACTTGATGAAAAATCTGTTTTTAATGAAGTTAAAATCATTAAAATACCGAATATGGGGGGGTACCGTTATATGGGGGCTATTCGAAAACGTGGACCTGCACAGACAATTTTCTGGCATGGGCTGAAGTATCCATTACGAACTTCACATGCGAAATTTGAAACAATAAATAATGTCCCTAAAATCATCAAAATACCGAATATCGGGGGGTACGGTATATGGGGCTATATGAAGATGTGGACCTGCACAGAAAATTTTCTGTCTTAGGCCGTAGTATCCATTACGAACTTCAAATACCAAATTTGGAACGATTTCGCTAAATAATGTCGTTTTAAATCATCAAAATACCGAAAATCGGGGGGTACCCTTATATGGGGGCTATACGAAGACTTGGACCTACATGGCTCATTTTTTGACTTAGGATTTAGTATCCATTACAAACTTCAAATACCAAATTTGAAACGATTCCGGTAAACAATGTCGCTAAAATCATTAAAATCCCGAATATCGGCGGGTACCGTTATATGGGGACTATATGAATACGTGGACCTACATGGCTCATTTTTTGGCTTACGATGTAGTATCCATTTCGAACTTCAAATGCCAAATTTGAAACAATTCCGATGAATAATGTCGCTAAAATCATCAAAATACCAAATATCAGGAGGTACCATTATATGGGGGCTATATGATAACTTGGACCTACATGGCCCATTTTCGAACTTAACCTGCCTACTGGCAAAATATACATGTGTGCAAAATTTTAGCCTTCTATCTCAATTTGTTCGAAAGATAGCGTGATTACAACAGACAGACAGACAGACGGACAGACAGACACACAGACAGACAGACGGACATGGCTAAATCGCCTTAGAATTTTACGCTGATCAAGAATATATATACTTTGTTGGGTCTGACATGAGTATTTCGAGGAGTTACAAACGGAATGACAAAATGAATATACCCTCCATAGTATGGTGGAGGGTATAAAATATGGGACATTTCATTGTTGCTTACATTCAATAGATGGCGTTGGTAGTAGGAAAATATGTTATGTCACCACATTATGTTATAATCTAACAGACCTGACATTTTTATAGGAGATTTGTTGATTTTTATCGATTCAATGTACAAGAAAATGTTCTGGAATATATTTTTGAGTCTACCTCTATTCTTTCTGACGTTTTTCTTTGTGGGTCTCCGGCATTTTGTACGATTTATTTATAACATATTTCTCTAATATTTTTAATGCATTTTTATAATGTCGTTGACCAGATAGAAAAATTATACGATAATGTGCATTTTGTTCCTCTTTATGGCTTTATGCCTTTGAACTAAGACATAAAATATAATAAATGGTAGATGGCGTTGATAGTATGAGGAGACGCTTTTATAGGCTTTTACCTCAGCTTATCGATTCAAAGTTCAAGTATTCGTCTATAATTTCTTATGCTTTTCTTTAGGTTTCTATCTTATGTTATCATATCATTAGCCATCTATGGCCTGATAGTAAAACTAAACTGCATTATGGATTTTATTACATTTGTAGTGTCCTTCGTTTAGCGAACGCATCTTTTCGTGAAAGCACGCCCCGACAAGACATCGAATTATTTAACACGCATTTAATATTTCAGATTGCAAACCGGCATTTAATATTCACATTGCTACCCGTAATGTAGTAAACGTCATCTATACTTCGCATTGCAGCTGACGTGGTACATACGTACTTTGTTCGAGTAGTCGTTGAATTCGACAATAAGAAAGATATCCCATGTCCTTGAACACAAATTTTACCGGGCTACACTTTCATATGATTTTATATGAGTCTATATTATCCCTCCTTGGATATTTAGGGAAATATATCTCTATAAAGGCAGTATCGATGATATTTTTCCTATTTTGTTATTTAATTAAGGGTTCTTTTGCTCCACTTGTGGTATTATTCAAACTTTCAAAAGCATTTTCGCTTCGTCTGGGCATTAATGATTTGCATGACAGTCAGAGAGTCAACCTCTCATCATCTCACCATTTTTATACAAAACAGATAATGACTATATAATTGTCTAAACCCAGACATATAGATTGAAACCAGGATTTTATATGGGGATCAAACTGGTTCAGAAATAACTTGAAATTCATTCTAGAAGAGAACGTATTGTAAAACGAATTAATCGATATTGCACCATATATTACATCGAACGCCATCTTTCTCTCAATTTATATAGAGTGTACTGCATTGAGAGCGCGTATTACAGTGCATACTTTGGGGCGCAAAATGGAAATAACCCCTTTAACAGTGACATTTTATCTCTAGTATCAAAACTGTAGAACTACCACATTAGTACCAAACACGGACAACTAGATGGCTCTCAAATGCCGGGCCAAACTCAGTGGACTTATTCCGCTGCTTTATCCAAGTAAGCTGCTGTTATTTTCGAATAATTCGTAAGCACAAAAATTCGTTTAGTACGCAATTTTTTTAGTATTTCGTCCTCCTTATCCTTTAAGGACATTTATATTTTTGATTTTTTGTTAAGCACAATATTTTCAAAAATCACACGTTTTAAAACTTTTATGATTTTAATTATACCTTCATTTTGTTTTAATATTTTATATTGCACTGATTTAATGGAACTCAAAAACTGTAATTTTAAAAAAACACAAAATATTATTTTTAAATATTTTTATGCGAAACGTTTCTTAAATACTTTTTTTCTGAAATGTGGTATTGACCGACTGATGGCAAATGCTGAACTGTTATAATTTTCAAATGACCAAAACACTTTATATACAAAAATTCCTACCATACCGTTACCATAGACTGTAAGGCAAATACCACCCA